TGATACGGATATTGTTCATTTTCGCACCTGACCTAACACTGATGCAAATATTAAAAATTGAAAAGTTGGAGCAAAATCGGATTCTCCTTTATCTTTATGTGCAGTAAAATATTTTTTTTTGAAGATTTCGACCCTTTGTGTTTGAGGTAACGGAAGGAGTGGACCTATATTGTCAATTTTCGAACCCGATCTAAGTTTGATAATAATAGTACGATGTGCAAAGTTTGGATCAAATCGGATACTTCCTTCGAGGTTTATCATGCGCATCAGCCAAACGGACGGGCGGACATCGCTAGATCAACTACAAATGTCCTGAAACGGATTTGGTTCAAAGAGACCTAGGGTCTTAAACCGTTACTTCGATGATGCACATTTAGGTCATATCAAATGATATATACCCTCTCTAGCTATATGGTTGGGGGTATAATAATTTCGTCTTTGATGTTATGCTTATATTTATTATGACTTGTAAGAGAATTTTGCAAAAACTCACACGAAGAACAGCTTTTACCCTTAAAATGTGTTTCAATATTTATAAACTCCTGGCTTCTCATGTTTTATGAGAGCTAAAATAGAATTTTACTTGTACCCCACTGTGTCCACTATTGAAATGTACCGCAATGAGATGCAGTCAAGTCTTTAATTCATCTAATTTGAATATTTTTATTTTATTCATTTAGACAACTCGTTCATTTTCCGGTAGATTCAGTTACATTGAAATCAGTTACACAAATCATCTATGAGGATTACAAATTTGAAAATAAAATTATATAATTACACTCGTATAATAGATGACCTGAAAATTTGTTGTAATTATGTTAGCGATACGATGTCCAATGACATTGAGATCAAGTTCAAGTTCAGCTGGTCCGTTTGAAAGAGAGAAGGCGTAACAACGGCAATACACGTGTCGCGGCTTATTGAAGATTTTCTTGTTGTAATTTTGAAGGTCACATAAACCAGAGGTGGGAGTGTCTGGGAGTGCCGTACCATCTATAGTTTTCTCCCTTTATATATCCTCCCCTCATACATAGTATGGAGGGTATATTAAGTTCGTCATTCCATTTGTAACTCATCGAAATAATCATCTTAGATCTAACAAAATATATGTATTCTTGATCAGCGTCAAATTCTGTCCGTCCGACGGTTTTAATCAAGCTAAAATTTTGTTTGAAATTCTACACAAGGAGTTCTTTTTGAGTACTTTACCCCCTGAAAGAGAATTATCTTTATAGGTCCACGATATCGAACAGCCCCCACACAATGTTACCCCCCGATAGTTGATATTTTGACGATTTTAGCGACACTTTTTACCGGAATTGTTTCAAATTTCGTACATAAAGTTTGAATGGGTACTGCAGCCTATGCCTAAAAATTGCGTATTCTGGTTAACGTTTTCGTATAGCGCCCATATAACGATACCACCCAATATTCGGTATTTTGATGATTTTAGCGATATTACAACGAAATTGTTTCAAATTTGATGTTTGAGGTTCGTAATGGATATGACAGAAAATTGTCTGTGCAGGCCCACGTCTTTGTATAGTCCCAATATAACGGTACCTCCCTATATTCGTTACTTTGATGATTTTAGCGACATCATTCACCCGAATTTGAAGTTTGTTATGGGAACTACAGCTTATGCCTAAAAATGTCGTGTGCAGGTCTACGTCTTCCTATAGCCCCCAAAATCTAAAAATCCGCGTAAAAATACACCAACAAATTGTAAATTAAAATTTTTTGTGATAAATTAAAATATCCCATGCAATTTGTTCCATTTGACATGCTTCATTTAAGTTTTTTTTTAATTTTGAATGTAAGGGAAGAAAATTATGTTAGCGTACAATACGATGTTGAATTGTGATCTTCTGCAAACAAACAAAAAATGGTCGATACAGCTGAATAGGGACGTGGACGTCCAATAAGAAATCGATATTTAAATTCATTGGGACTGCAATCAGTAAAATACAGAATATAAAGAGAAACTGCAATATGCGGACTATACAAACTGGTAGATCGAAATGAAAATTTAGGAAAAACAATTAAAAAGGTAGCAATATTCAAATGCGAGACTTAAAAAAAATCGGTAATAATGTAGATAAAATCATCGAAATACCGAATATCGGGAGGTACCGTTTTATGGGGGCTATACGAAGACGTGGGCCTGCACAGACAATTTTCTGTCTTAGGCTGTAGTATGCATTACGAATTTCAAATACCAAATTTGAAACACTCCCGGTGAATAAATTCGCTAAAATTATCAAAATACAGAATATCAAGAGGTACCATTAAATGGGGGTTACGAAGATATGGACCTGCATAGAAAATTTTCCGTCTAAGGCTGTAGTATCCATTACGAACTTCAAATACCAAATTTTAAATAATGTCGCTAAAATCGTCAAAATACCGAATATCCAAGGGGGCTATACTAAAACGTGGACCTACATGGCCTATTTTCAATACCAAAAGTCCTGCAGACATAACATACATTTGAGTAAAAATTTATCTATCCAATTCAATTTGTTCAAAAGCTAGAGTGATTTCCACAGACGGAGAGGCGGATAGACGGACGTACATAGCTAAATATAGAATTTTATGCTGATCAAGAATATATATACTTTGTGGGGTCTATACTGTGTATTTTGAGATGTTACAAACGGAATGACAAACTTAGTATACCCTCCATACTATGGTGGAGGTTATAAAAGGATATTTAATTTGCGGGTATCATTATTCGGGGGTCTACACGCAATAGCAAGTAATAATGGCATTGTGCAACAATGACTAGTATTCGGTTATCAGATCAAAATCGCAAAAGGATTTTGGATTCCCAGGCCAAACGTTTTTAAGGCCCATTATATAGCCCTAACCATACACAATGGGCCTCAAACATTTTTCTCTAAAATAAATATACGTCATGTCGATCTACGACTTGGTATAGCCAAATCCGTCTAATATCGGGAGGTACCGTTAAATGGCGTCTATACCAACACGTGGGCCGATATATCTCATTTTTAGTACCAATCATCCCAGATACAATACAAATTGCTCTGCCACGAAGCCTTACGTTAAATAATGTCAAAGTTAATATGACGTCCTTTTCAAGGTGGAGGGTATAAAAAATATATAAATTTCCACCAAATTGTTTGCTGGGTAGCTAGGAACATTAGTTTTTATACCCTACAACACTATGTGTTGGGGGTATTATAAGTTTGATTGGGCCAGAATTTATGTAACACCTCGAAATATTGGTTTCCCATATAGGAAAGTATATATGGATCTTCCTAGCTCGTCGAGCTGAGTCGATCTAGCTATGTATGTCCGTCCGTCTGTCCATGTTAATTTGTAATCACGCTACAGGTCGCAATTATGGTCCGATCCTTACGAAATTTTGCACGAAGGTGATGTTAGGGTCAGAATAGAAACCTATTTCTTTTGGATGATCGCCAAATGTTTAGGGGTTGAAATGGACCAAATACTGAAAAAATGTCGGATTTTGCAGTAGCTATACAGGTCGCAATTATAGACAAATCCACGCGGAATTTCGCATGTAATCAGAGTTAAGGGCGGGGAAGAAGCCTACCAATCCGGGTGGTCATCGGATAATATTTAGCGGGTAAAATAGACCATATCTTTTGTGTTGAAAAAATTCAAAATTTTTCATTAAACCGTGAATATTTTAAATCCCGTCGAAATCACAAAGTTATGACAAGGTTACTTCTGACCTTTACATTGATGTTAACATCCAACAAATCGGATATATAGCAAAATATGTGCGATATATATGTCTATCAAAGAAGATAAGCTTGAAAGATATCTTATATGTCGAGAACGGCTGAACTGACTTCGACATTTCTCATTAATTCAGAATGGCCTCCTGACAGGAAAGATAAAACGTCTAAAAAATCGCATAAAAATATGTCTCTAAAGATTAAAATATTGATTTTGTAACATTTTCTCATATTTTTTCAATTTTGTTATATTTTTGGCATATTTTCATTTTGAATTAAACATTTGGTAATATTTCTACAACTAACAAAACTAAGTAGTTAGGATATCAGGATATCATATACAGATCGCATTTATGGTCCGATCCTTACGAAATTTTGCATGGGGATAAGATGAGGGTCAGAATAGAAGCCTACTCTTTTTGGAGATGATCGCCATATATTTAGGTATTGAAATGGACCAAAAAACTGCAAAATTGTCAACAGGTCGTAATTATCGCCCGATCCTCACGCACATTTGAATGGGTTACCGGACATTGCAAAAGCCAAGCAGTTTTGAATGGCCATCCAAAAATATTCAATGTGTGAAATAGTTTACCAACTTTTGTAGACAAAATACGAAAATGTCCATTCCAGTGACTTTTTGGAGAATTCACAAATTCAGGAAAGACGCACTTCTGATTATTTCGTTAGGCTGATTTCGTTGAAGAATATAGTCAAATGTCTGTATCTGATATAGATGCTTTTCAGTCAAAAACCAATAATAAATGTTAATCTTTTGCCACTTCTGAGAGATTATAGGTCTTTGGGAAATATTGGTTCCAGATCTAGGAAGACCGTTTACGTGCAATATCTACCAATAAATTGGAAATGAGCAAATTAGTTTAAGTTGCTATTATTCGAAAATTAGAGAACGAAACCTGATGGTTTTCTTTTATTATTTGTCACAATATATTGTGGAATTCTTTCGAGTATCTCGCCTATATAAACTGTATCATTTATTATAGTGTTGTAGGGTATTCAACGGTCGGCCCCGCTCGGCTGTAGCCTTTGCTTACTTGTTCATTATAAAACTTTTCCTCCCAATTGTAAATAAAACATCATTTTTTTTTCTTTTTTCACATTCACAGTTTTCTTATTTCCTTCTTGATAGATTTTAACATGGTTTAATATAAATGTTTGTGTATTTGACACATTCCCCCTCCACAGGTGTTTCAGATCATAGATTTTGGAGGGAACATTTTTATCCCACGAATAAAAACTAACAAGAAATGAAAAAATAATCTTATAAAATATATTTTGCTTTTACTTCGATATGGGAGCTAATCAGCCAGGGTGGCTAACTAAACTGGCGCCCAAATCATGACTAAACCTATTACAAATGCCTTAAACTAGTTTGGGTATGCATCCAATAAAGTTAGTGCATAAACACATATATTGGAATATATTTTCCTGTTTTTTTTTCTTCTTTTGTTCATAATAAAGTAGATAAAATAATAATAAGCAAAAAATATGAGTCATTACTAAGCGCTTCACTTTTGTGTTTTTTTTTTTCGGATAGAAATTTATTTATTTATTTTTTAAAGATAAGTGCTCCCCACTAAAACTTACAAAAAAGTGTTTCATTTTGCATATTTGTGAGAGTTTTTTTTATGTGTATTAGTGTGCGTGTATTGCATCATTGTACCCATTGCTTATAAATTAAATAAAGTTGATTTGTAAAATTGATATGTATGTATTGGTGTGTGTGTGTGTTATTGGTTGTTGGACGTAAAAATGATCAAAACCCGTATTTCGTTAAAGAAATTCGGCAGGCCCCGAGGCTGCCTTGCTATGATGATGAAATTGTTTGGTTGTTGTTCTATTTTTGATCGCGTGACCAATTTACAAAATATGTTTTAAATAAATGTTAAAATATATAAATAAGTGTATATATTTGTAATTGGTCCCACAAACGATTCTCACAAAAAAGTTACGATTACCCCCATTTCCCCATGGGGGAGTGTTCCCGCCAATATTTAAAGTAACTTAAGCTAAAACTGATGATTTCTTTGAAACGTTTTCATTTTCATCGAGTTTTGTGCTCTCTGTACTTGACGACTCGGCATCATCGTCATCACAATCGTATTCAGGATCGGGAACTTCGGGTAAATGTTCATGGTGATGTTGATGTTCTGCTTCGGCTGCCGAGGGATGGGTACCATCACCATACTTGTCCAAAGTGCGTCTGACCAAATCCTTGGTGGGTTCTTTGCGGTCCCAGCACCAACCAATCTTGGCGAAGCCATCCAAAATCATGGTGGTCAGATTCAAGGAATATTTACCCAACTCAGCTGCTTTGTAGTCCCAGGGGAAGACATGGTGGTAGTTGTGCCAGCCCTCACCCATGGCAACGAAGGAGACCAAGACATTCTCGCGGGGATTGATGCGCCTGGAAAAAAGAATGAACCTTTTAAGTTATGCTGTCCAAATTTTTCACATTTCTCCCAACAACTTACTTATCATAGGGACGTGTACCCCACAAATGGGCAGCACTGTTCACCGACCAGGTAAAGTTCAACGAGTAAACATAACGGAACACACACTGCATCACGAAGCTCAAATACCATTCCTCACCCCAGAAATAGACGGGAATAACGGTGGGAATAATGAAACAGCAAAGCATCTTCAGTGGAATGAAATATTTCTCATGGAAACGCACCACAGGATCGGCCAATACATCACTCATGTCCAATTGACGGCCGCGACGTAAAACCTCAGGATGTTTGTGCATCATCAACCAGCCGACATGGGCAAAGAAGAAGCCACGGTTCGAATTGTGAGGATCAGCATCGGTCTCCGAATACTTGTGATGCACTCGGTGATCACGCACCCAATCGTAGAGGCTATTCTGTGGATTTCGTAAGGTTAAGGAGAGAAGAAAAATAAAATGTGATTAGAAAAAAATTGATAATGCTTATGTGGAATATATTATTGAGATCCTAGGACTATATTTCCCCTACTACTAGAAAAATATTTTTGGTGTAAAATTTCGTAAAAAAGTGATATATTTGTTTGTGAAAAAGTCAGTACGAACAGGTTTTCAAGAGAGAGAGTAGAATTTTCACGAAACAGAGGAGACTTTGCTCTTGCCGTGTACCCTTTTAAATTTTAATTTATTATACCCTCCTCCATTCTATGGAAGGTATATTGCTTTTTCATCCCGTTTGTAACTTCTCGAAATATTCATGATAGACCCTACAAAGTATATATGTAAGGTCTGTCTGTTTGTGTAATCAAACTATCTTCGAATGAATTAAGAAAGAAATTAAAATTTTGCACACATGTATATTTTGCCAGTGGGCAGGTCGGTCCACGTTTTCGTATGGCCCCCATATAACGGTACCTCCCGATATTCGGCATTTTGATGATTTTGGCGATATTATTCACCGAAATTGTTTCAAATTTGGTGTTTGAAGTTCGTAATGGATATGACAGAAAATTGTCTGTGCAGGCCCACGTCTTCGTATAGTCCCAATATAACGGTACCTCCCAATATTCGTTACTTTGATGATTTTAGCGACATCATTCACCCGAATTTGAAGTTTGTTATGGGAACTACAGCTCATGCCTTAAAGATCGTACGAGGATCCACGTCTTTATATAGCCCCCGCATAAAGGTCATCATTTAAATTTTAGAACTTTTTGTGTCTTTAAACTTTGAATTTTCAAAAACCCTTTGGTACATCAATCCTGCACCGTCATTCGAAATTTTAGAGTTGTAGGCAATACAAATTATTCTATTTTTAGTACTTTTCGTAACACTTTACAAGGAGTTTTCCAAAACCTAGACTTATAAGACATCTCCGTACCGTTCAAAATTTCAAGAATCTAACTTTAGCCGTTTAACCTGAGCATTTATTCTTGGTCAGTCTTCCAGTTATTCCACTACTCTTTACATATTTGACTTATATGTATATATCTGCCGCCTTCTCTGGCATATAGTTGTTTATATATGGGTCCAAATCCTAAATAGGCCCATATAACTGTATGACTCGATATTCGATATTTAAATAATATCAGAGGTATTATATCAACGAAATTTACTTTTTAATGAAAAATTTAAATCGTCTTCAATAAAGTCTCTTCTAATATCGATTTATAATGACGTAAACATTGACGTCATCACACTATGCTGACAGTGATTGAACAGTAGTAATAAAACATAATCGGTGTAATGATGGTCGAACATAATTTACTTTATGACTGCATATGTCGGTCACTCTACTTCCATTGTTGTTTAGTATTTCCCGTCGCGCTTCATGATCCGGCATTTTTATAACCTCCACCATACATAGTGTGGAGGGTATATTAAGTTCATCATTCCGTTTGTGACTCATCGAAATAATAATTTTAGACCCAACAAAGTATATATATTCCTGATTAGCGTAAAATTCTAAGACGATTTAGTCCTGTCCGTCTATTGTAATCACGCTACAGTCTGCAGGCAGGTCAAGTTCGAAGATGGGCTATATCGGCCCACCATATCGTATAGCCCCCAGATAAAGGTACCCCCCGATTTTCGGTATTTTGATTATTTTAGCCACATTTTCAAGGGAATTGTCCGAAATTCTACATAAGGATATCTTTCTGAGTACTTTACCCCCAGACATACATTTGTCTATATAGGTCCAAAATATCGTATATCCCCCCATACATCGGCACCTTCCGATATTCGGTATTTTTAAGATTTCCCAATTCATTCCAAGTGATGGAGAGTATTCAAAGTTCGACCCGGCCGAACTTACTTATTTACTTGTTTCTTATTAATAATGTTATTTTAATTTTCGTTGTGAATGCATTTAACACTTACCTGACCAGCCGTTGTATAGCACAGCATTAGAATGATGCGCAATGGCAAATTCGCCTTAAACGAACGATGTGTCCAATAACGATGAGCTCCACCAGTGACACCAAATCCGACAACACCACCCATAATGTAGGCTGTAAGAAAATAAAATATTACAAAAAAACGGTTGATTAGATTTTATTCTAAATTCTTAAATAAATTAATGCAAATTAATAAATACAAAAACATATTTTAATAAGCCATGAACTCAATAATGACCTTCAATGTTGTCCAATGTCATTTACAACAAAATGTGATATTAGATTCGTAAGATGGTTCAATATTCAAACGGGTTTTAGCCACATACTCTGGTTTTAGCAATTCGAAAAAATTTTAAATTTGTTATGAAGGAATTTTTTGAAGGATTTCTTTGAAATATGTTTAACTTTCATTACAAAATGTATTCTTTTGTATTTTTCTTCGGATGGATTCAGAGATAAAAAGGGAATTCAGAGGAAATCTATTTTTACAGTCGAAAAGGGTGAAAAGCGGGTGATAAGGCTGTTTTTTTTTAATTTGAAATGAGAGTCACTAATAGATTGTAGGATAAATGTACCAAAGGTTTTTTTGGAAATTCGAACTTTAAGTTTACGAAAAGTTCTAAAATGGTATTAATCTTCTAAAATGTTACACTGTTGGTATCTAAAGATGAGATTTGGAGACTGTTTTGAAAATGCGCACAAAATACCGAAAAATGTACTGTTGGGTCTTAAATTTTGAAACTGGATATGGAGGTCACTGTTGTTTACATAGTTTTTAGGGAAGGAGGTGGATTTGTTCGAAAAGTACTGAATGGTACTAAATTTGTCTTTGAGTGAATGGATAGAAATTAAATTTTATATTTAGGCTTCTATAGGATCACTTTTTTATAGCCCACTTATAACGGTACCTCCCGATATTCCGTATTTTGATCATTTTTGCCACTTTTCTCCACGGATTGGTCTACAAATTGGTATTTATAGTTAATAATGGGTTCTAGCTCCGGTGGCAGAACTTTTAACATTTAGGTCCACGTTTTCCTATAGCGTGCATATAACGATACACACCGATATTCGGTATTTTTATAATCCTAGCCACATTTACCCACGAAATTGTTTCAGATTTGGTTTTTAAGAAGATTTGGCCCCTATGCAACAGGATATCTGAGGATATTCATAGAATCACTTTCTGAGTCGAATTATGCATGTTAGTCCGTGCATCTGTCCGTCCATGTATGCTTGTGAACAAAATGCAGTTCGCAGTTTTAATCCGATTGAGATGAAATTTTGCAAACAATATTTGTTTGGCCCAAGGACCAACCCTATTGGTGATAATCGGATCAGATTTAGATAAAGCTCCCATATTTCATCAACCGAATTCGGATTAAATGTGCGCCAAATGACCAGTATAAGTCGTAATGACCTGAATTTTGGTACATCTGACCGAATTCGGTCTAGAAGCAAGTACATCAAATTGGTTCAGATATAGCTATAGCTCCCCTATACGTGTTTCATCCGATTTGGTACCAAATGTCAGATACATCCCAGAAATACCTCTGCCAAATTTTATCAAGATCGGTTCAGATTTGGATATAGCTGCCACATATATCTTGCGCCAAATAGCCAATATCAGTCCAAATGACCTGATTTTTGATACATCTGACCAGGTTCAGTCTAGAAGCAAGCACATCAAATCGGTCGAGAAAATTGGTTCAGATATAGCTATAGCTCCCATATAAATGTTTCATTCGATTTGGTGTTCAAGTCCCTCATATCCGTAATATGCATTCGACAACAATGGTATTTGGTACAAGATATCTTACAGAGCTCAGAAATATTTTTGCCAATTTTTCGACAACAACTAAGATTTGGATATAGATCCCATAAATATCCTTAATCCGATTTTAGGTTTATTGTGCAAATAATGGCTAATATCAGCCAAAATGGAGTGAATTTCGGGACGTACGTTTCCATTTTTTTGGAACTCGGCTCCGTTATATATTTATTTAATATAATCCATCTCGAAGTGATATCATGCACTTTAAAGCAACGTTATTTGGTATAAAAGATTAAAATGTCTCCGTCAAATTAAGTGAAAATCGATTCAGAATTGGATATGTGTCCTGTACATATATTAGTTCCCTCTGAAACCAAACCATAACAGCTCTAAAGCCAAATGTTGATAGGTGATATGATTTACTTCAAATAAATTCTTTTGTTACGGGGGCCCTACTAAAAATGCATAGTGGTGTAGGGTATCATACAGTCGGCCCCGCCCGACTTTTGACCTTTCCTTATTGGTTTTTTCTTCTATCATTAAAATTTGCCCATGCTTAATATTTTTTTCCTTTATTTATTTGGGAAAAAGTGAACATTAAAGTGAAGGCTATTGTAATACGGAAATAAAAAAAAAAATCACTTAACACCTTGCAGAGCTGATGTTGAAATTTAATTGAATAATAAAAATGTCATTAAATAACAATCAAAATGTGTGGAACTCACTAATAACCTTTTAGTTGGAAAATATGGCATAATTATTTTCAAATTTTTCATTAGTAAATGAGTTGCAGGTATGGAAAAATTCCGCAATATTTTCGCACCTAAAAAGTTCGAAGCTGTAAAAGATTCATAATATTTAGTTGAGTTTCTCTATTTCAATGGGGCGGGCAATAAAAACGAATTGTCGCAGATAAGTTGGATTTTATGAATTTAATTCAAATTATATTGAAGCTTAGGGATAGAAGTGTTAAAGCTGGTAGGAACGACGACTGCATTTCTCGTAAATACTCTATTGTTTTGCGGAAATTATTTTGGGTTTTCCATTATTTTTTTTTTTTTTGATTTTTGAATCAAACCTAAAATGAATACTCCCAATATCTTATGAAGAATTTTTATTTCTTTTTTCATTTATATATACATTTATTCTTTAGCGAATGTATCTGATTAATAATAATTTTTACATTTAATGACATTATTACTCAGTGATGTTCTCCTCACATTGCTGTACAGAAAACATAATCAAAAATCCGACTTATTTGTCAACTCATCGCAAAATTTAGATGTGGTGAAAAAAATTGGAAAAGCCTCACCTCATGGAATTCCAATATAAAAAAGTAATTAAAAACACTTTGAGACTAATTAAAAAATGCCTACATACATTTTAGGCCGAAAGAAATTATCATCATCATCAGAAATTGCCAATGCAGGCGTTTTATGGGTATTAGCCAACAATAAAACCTGAGGAAATAAACTTGATTTGCTTATCATGGCGCTTTATATGATTTTGTAATATTTTGAGACATTATGGCTATGTTACACACACACACACATACACCAATAAAATGGGGTCCATTAATTACCACTTGTGTTGGCCTCCTTTTGTGTTTCCCATTTTCCACACATTTAGCACATTTGATTGGGCGTGTAAGACAAACAAATGTTTGTCATTGTCTGCGAATCAAAAGCAATGAATGGTTTGAAGTTTTTAACACTTCTTTTAAACTATTTTACTTTTTGTCGCTTTGTGTTATAATTTTTGTTTTTATTTATATATATTTTTTTTTAACTTTTGTGACGTTTGCTTTTTTTGTGAAGGTGATAAATGAGTTGTAAGACGGTATAAGTGTTGACACAATTTATTAACAGCAACGTTAAAAAAAAACTAATGTTGCAAAATGAAGAGCACTACAATAACAACAGCTGTTGGTCAGAGTTTGAAGAAAACATTTATAGATATGAACAAGAATTTCTTAAAATTAGGACCGAGGGTGCAAGAAATCGGTTTTATTAAAATTATCTGATACAAGGGCTATGCTATAATCATGAACTTTTCTTTAAATAATTTTTCTAAAGGATAATCCCAATAAATGTGGATTTTTAAAGGATTATTCTAAAGGACAATTCCAACAATAAACGTGGATTTTTTAAAGAAATGTACTAAAGGACAATCTCAACAAAAAACGTGGATTTTTTAAAGATTTTTTCCAAAAGTCTATTCCAGCAATAACCCTTGAATTTTTAAAGAATTTTTCTAAAAGCCTATTCCACCAATTAACCTGGATTTTTTAAAGAATGTTTCTAAAAGTCTATTCCAGCAATAAACCTGGATTTTTAAAGAATTTTTCTAATGGACTATCCCAACTAGAGGATCTACATGATCCTCTATAATATAATAATTTTCGAGGACATACAGGGTGAGATGAAAAAATTGCAACCAACTTCAGACTGCTGTCATTTCTAAGCCACTCGTCCGAAAGCTGTTAAAATTATTCCAGTGACAGCTCATTACATTGGTTACAAGCGTTCAAAAGCATTTTGGTGGGAATTTTCCAGAAAAAAGTTATTTGCCATGGACGGAAGAAAACAGCAACATCAGCAGAAATGGTTCGAAAAGTAAAGAAGCGATTTGATCGCAATGGCCGAAAAATGGCTCGTGAGCTGAACATATCACAATATTCCATTCGGCAAATATTGAAAAATGAGCTCGAGGTAAAGCCATTGAAATTCCAAAATGTGCAAGAACTTACACCGCAACAGAAAGAAAATAGACTCAAAAGAGCTAAAGAGTTGTTTCGCTTAGCCGAAAGTGGTGAACTGCCAAATTTGGTTTTCTCCGATGATAAAACATTCGTTGTCCAGCAGTTTGTAAGTAAACAAAATGATCGTGTTTACTTCCCAAAGAGGTCAGATGAAAATGTGCTCCTTCGGTTGGCCACCAGAACTCAAGCGCCGGCCATGATGATGATGTGGGCCGCCATAACAGCCGGTGGTTGCCTTCCGCTCGTATTAATCGACCGTGGAATCAGAATAAATGCCGAATATTATCGCGAAAATGTTTTGGAGGGAGTATTGAAGCCTTGGGCACGAAAACATTTTGGCAGCAGACCTTGGACATTCCAACTGGACCTAGCATTATCGCACTCAGCACGCGCCATCCAAGAATGGTTACAAAATGAGGTTCCTCTCTTCATTTCCAGCGCACATTGACCACCAAAATCTCCGGATACCAATCCGTTGGACAATTCTGTCTGGAGTATTCTGGAAAGCAAGGTTGGCACTAAAAAATACCAAAGTGTCGATCACATCAAGCAAGCGCTTCGCCGGGAATGGGCCAAAAT